TAATTGCCAGTGCCCGCTCAAAATATTGCTTTGCTTTACGGATATCACCCATTGATTGATATACAGCACCGAGATTACCGTATTGTTGTCCCTCTCCTATTTTATCACCAATTTTCTCGTAAATAGAAAAAGATCGCCAATGGAATTCCAGTGCCTCGTCGTATCTTCCAAGAAAATGGTAGAGATTTCCAAGTTTGCTATTTAAAGTACCTTCGTTCCCCTTGTCACCAATTTCTGTGTAAACCTCGAGTGCCTTCCTTGCGTACTTTCCAGCTATGGAAAAATCTTTTTTGCTGTCATATAAACCTCTTAGGCTATCATAGGTGAAGGCCTCTCCTCTTTTGTCCCCCATCCATTCACTAAGAGAGAGTGCCCTCATGTAGAATATTTCTGCGTCATCAAATTCTTCTAGAGATGTGTTGATATCACCGAGATTCCGGTAAATCATGATTTCTTCGTACTTATTTCCAGTGCATTCACTTACGACGAGAGCTTCATATTGCATACATTTTGCGTTTTGGAAGTCTCCGATAATACGATAGTAATTTCCTAAGTCATTTAGGGCTTCCCCTAGCTTCGAAAACGCATAAACACCGGCCTCCTTTAAAGTTTCCACTGCCTTTTCATAAAACCCTTTAGCCCGGTAGAATTCTTCCAATTTCCCATGCAGTTCGCCAATTTGCATGAGTATAACTCCAAGTTCCTTTTTATTACCAGTTTTTACCCAGATTTCAAGTTCCTTTCCAAAGTAGTCCTTGCCTTTAGGGAAGTCGAACAAAGGTTCCAGAAGGCGGAGAAGCTTTTCAACATTGAAGCGCGATTCATCTGAGAAATCACTATTTTGAAGATGGATACGGATTGCCTCTTCTCCATTTTTGATCGCATTCTTGGTATCACCGACAACACAGTAAAGGTCAAACAACCTTTGAAAGACTATTGCAAAAAAAGCAGTCGACTTTTCCGTTTTAAACTGCTTTAAAAGGACCAAGCACTCGGAGAATATCTCGATAGCTTTTTTGTAGCGACATGTCTGAAGCAAAACGGATGCCACTGCAATGCCAATGGAGAGAGCCCAAGAAATCTTATCCACGTCTTCCATTACCACTGCTAATGAAGGTCTGCAGAGAATCTATATCACAGGAAACAAAAAGGTAAAGAACCATGATAGGTTTAGCCCGTACAAGAAAGGGAATTATTGAGTTATCTATGATTATCATCACTCGGTAGAAATTGATACATTAGGTCGCGAGCGGCAGTACCTCCTGCATTACGTGGAATAGTGAGTGCATTCGTCAAGTCAAGCGATCAGTGCAAAGAAATGTCAAAGGTAGCATCTTGGTTAAGAGCTAAAGTTTCTTTACCAGGAAATATAATAAAAAGAATTATAGGCTTGTACAAGCAATTGACATTTCTGAGGAAATAGGTGACATTTAGTGATTGTATATGACGAATCAACAAGAGATTATTAAAAGTTGATAATCTCTTGGAATCAACGAAGTCTCCATGCTTTGGCCAGCTTACAATGCATACCTAACGGTCCGGTTACCAAGGCATCAAACCAAACGAATAGCAAAATATAAACATGCTGATATTTTAGCTATTCACCGAAAGATATTTAATAATGAGAAACATAAAAGATTGTAGTCGAGAAGTTTACCGGGAGTCTTCATTCTCAGTCCCAGACCCCTTTACAGACCTATCGCTCCTTTTCGCGTGGCTCAAGGCCTCGTCATTAACAACGGCGAAGAAGCACTCGCACCGAAGTCCTTATAATGAGGGCCTGCCCGCAGGCTGTTATTGCTAATAAAAGTAATGTAACGGTAACTTAAATTGTCGCTACTGCCTTACATTCATTTTTCAGTGCTCCTGAGTTTGATTCAATATATGACTGGACTGAGCCGATCATCTTAAGATAATTGATCTTGAATGTTTTCCCGTTTGTAAACAAAACCAGAGCCGTAGTCTCTTAGAATTCCCTAATCACTACTTTTTTTACTAACATAGAGCCCAGATGTCACTAGAAATGACATAAAAGCAATGGAACGCATTTTTTAATTGCTCTCACTTTGATCTCTTTAACTTTGTTGAACTGCATTTCTCTCTTTAGCAGCATATTTAGGTTGATAAAGGTACTTAATATTTATAATTTTAGCCCTAGCAGCCTTTTCCTGCTTGATAACCTTAATTTTCAATGAGTCTGAAGGGTGATACCGGGTCTAATCGCATCGCACTCGCGTGGGAGTAGACTAGATAAGGTCTTGGGGAATTCAACAAAACACTAACCTTATATTATAAATCAGGCGGCGAAAAAGCGCAGATCTAGACAGGACTTAAAGCAACACAACTTCTTCAGTTTCTTGCTCAGTTAACTAAGTGGTTTAACCCTTTCACCCTAATATCAGCATGTACATTATCCTTACTGTTCTCTGTACATTTCCTAGGGTACTGACAAAGAGAGTTTGTTTAACAATCAAAAGTTATGGTAAAATACCTTGCGAGAAAAATTCTCTTTTTAAATCTTCGGATGGAAAGAGTCTCTTGATGATATTAAAAAAAAAACTGAGAACATATTAATGACAAGAGGGAGCCAGGATTGTTAGTATTTAGAAGATTAAACCGGATTACAAATAACGGACTTGAAGAATTCAAGGTATAGTTTTTACGTTTTAAGAACTTTTTTCCATTTTTTATTTAAGGTGAATAATCAACGAATTTTTCATTTTTACCTTTTCAGTTTGGCACGTGAGGTTTATTAATCCTGACAGTCGCTCCTCAAATCAGTATTGCAATTCACGTTAACAAATGGTAAACACCACAGCGTACACTATTGAGTTATGGATGCACTCGGGAGGTTGCTAAGCACGAAAGAAGCGTAAGAATCGCGCGAGGCGATAGCCGAGAGCGACTCTAGCTTCTTGAGTGCTTAGCAAACCTCCCAAGTGCATCCATAACTCAATAGTGTACGCTGTGGTGTTTACCATTTGTTTTATAACATAACATTGATACATTGTAGCTAGAGAGTTCCCTTTTATTTAACAAATCTTACGCGACCAGAAAAAACAAGCGCGCGCGGAAAAATAGTCTTTGCATTTGCTCACGTCAGCAGCGTACACCCATGGGCAAATGGGGGACGCTAAATTGACCAATCAGAGCGCGCGCTTTACTTTGGTTATGTTATAATTCACTATGTTACGTTCATTTCCCATTTTGTCTTCTTTTTCGACTCAAACCGGATTTTTCTTCTCTGTTTTCCTCTTTAATTTGTACTTAAGCTTCTAAGCATAATACTGTGTTGCACTTCTGAACATACTAGTCATACTACGGAACTGTTCTCAAATGACGGACACACATCTTGTAAAACTCAAAAGGATTAAACACTACAAAATTAAAAAATCTAATGAAATGTACGAAAGTTTCAGCTTGATGATAACACTGAAACGTCTTATTTTCTTTCCATGTGATAAAAATCATGTGCCGTTGAAGCTATACTTCGCTTTCACTAAGTGCAGAATCCACCAATACACTTGGAGTTGATCAACTTGGTTACGCTTAAATTAACTCAGTACAGACAGAATCACGCAGGAAAGTTTGTAACCAAGATCGACATTTAAAACGGACCTAAAGTCTGGTTCATAACCTACATCAAACATTTCGTTTAGTTAACCACATCTGGCTAACTACCTCGCATTATATAAGGAAGATAGATAAATCTATAGTAAGTAACGTTGACGGTTTATGTTGTTGACTACGCTCGGGTACTATATGCTTACTATCTCTCTAAAATCTTACTACATTTCAAAAGAAGTTAAAGATTCACCTCTGTATGAGGCTGATTATTTAGGATTGTTTCCAAGTATCAGCATCGCTCTATCTACGTAAAGTACTATGCTAGAACTAGAAAACCTCGCTTACCAGCTTTTCTCGTCGCCTTGAGTTCAGCAAAACCGGAACTAGACAACTGAACTGCTGATCTGTAGCGCTATTGATAAATGCCTCATGTAAGCCTTCTCAAATTGTTTACTGATTGGACTTAATGGTCTGCATCCGGACTTTGTGACCCAGATTTGGAATTTATATCTTCCTTTTCTGCTTTTCTTTTCTTTTTTTTTTTTTAACTACTTTTCTATTTCTTTAATGCGTAAAAAAAAAATAATAAAAAAAACACGAGAGGTTTTTAAACGGAAGGTGTAGAGTTGTCCTCATGCAAAAAATAACCTCTGAGTGCGATTTCTGTGAACTCCTATTTTTCATAAGTGCCATTTTTCACTCAACAAAATGATGGTCCCAACTAGGACTGAGTTCCAAGTTGGTTTAGGGATTGCATTTCATTCAAATTTCCTTTTTAGCCTTCGGAACATCTTTAAAAGAGCGTTCACGGAAGAGTTTTGAACTTAATTTACCTTGGCTCCCTTGTTACAATGGGAACACTGGAATGTCCTTCTTTTCTTCGCATGAATTTCATTTGCATGAACTGATAAGTCATACTCATGAACTGACAAATTAAAATTTTAATTTGATAATTTTTTTCGGTCAATCGCACTACTCAAAATAATGCGATCGACCAAATTAAAATCATTACGAACTGAATCGCTATTACAATCACGTTCGATGTTTGAAACTAAACCAAAGCTTAGAATGAAAATCACACCGATTTTTGCGCTGATTCAGCAATTTATGGTCAAACGTTCTGCATTTTGGGGAAAATAAATAGATATAAAGCTGAAAGTTGACACGATAAGCGCATTATGGGTAAATACCGTTAAAACTTCGTTCTCTTGCTCTTAACTATATCTCTAAACGTAGTCATCCGTTCGCCAATGTACCCAATTGAGTTTCAATAATACTTTTTATTATTGCTATAATTATTTTTATTTCAACATCACACAAACCTAATATTATAACTCAGGTGGCCACCAAGGGCGAATCTGAACGTGACTTAGCTGGAAACAACCTCTTCAGTTTGTTGCGTGATTTAGTGGTTTAACCTTTTACGCCCTGACGTCAGCATGTATATCTTTATTCTCAATACCGTTCTCTATACAGTTCTTACGGTGATGACAAGGAGAATTTGTTTAACAATGGCAAGCTTCTTGGTGATAATGATAATTTCCTTTATTCTCATGACCATGTGATGTTTGGTTAAGCAGTAATGATATAAGGAGAAATAGGATCCTTTTCACTCTTAGAGCAGAGAAACTAAAGCCATCGCATTCACATCAAGGGAGATAAGTAAAATTTTGAACTGAATGATAAAAAATCTCTATTTAATATACAGATTACCTTTAAACGTTCATTTGCTCCTCAACCGAGGTGTTCGCTATCAGCATATCAAAAAATACTTTAACCCCGTACTTATGGAGATACAGCCTGAGGGAGAAATTGCCCACATTGTTCTTATTAATGATTGAAGGAGTTTCCTTCTGGTATAAAAGCTAAGTAAGAGATTAAAAAAGGAGCAAGGATGGTTAACGTTTGGGGATTACAAAAAACGAACTTGAATGATTCAGGGTTTAATTCCTATTTTTTTCAGATCTGTTTCCAATTAAACTTTTTCTTCAATATGAACAATCAGAGAACTCTAGTTATTTTTTAAATGACACACGAGATTCAATTACTATGATCATGAAAGTCGCATTTTAAACTCCTTTAAAGAAATACAGCTTTTTAAATCAGTATTAATATTCACATTCACTTAATTAAAATGTGGTATTCACTTCTTTTTCTCAGTGCTTCTTTTTCGGCGACACGAAGTAATTTTTCTGGCTGTCTTCGGCTTTGCACTTCTAAACATACTACGAAGCTGTTCTCAAATGACTGACACGTCTCACAACACTCATATAGGGATTTAATGCTACAAAATGAAAAGTGTAATTAATGAAATGTACGCATCAGCTGAACTGGTATTCCCTCTAAGAGTTCCTTCATGACAGCATCGATCGTTCACAGTTTATTGTGTTGGGACACCTGGTGCTTCCTCCTTCATTTAGGAAGTAGTTTCTTTCACTGTTCAAATAAAACGAAAAAGGAAAATGTAAGATTCCGTCCCTGAAAAACAAGCTAACGCTTGCTTTGACACACTTTGCAGTGTACCAGGCAAGCCTTTACATTGCATTATTTTTTTCAGTTCATTTTAATTTGTATCACTTCATGCTATTTACATCCTGAGACTTACATTTATTACACAAATTTGAATGACACGTCATCTCCAATCAGCACGAATGGTGCCCAATCTTTCACTTCCGAGTACTTAGGTTTCTTCCTCATCCATTTCATGGTTTCATGAAGACATTCACTGGCACTTTTCCCATCTACCAAGTGCTCGTAGAATTGCTTCATGAAGTCCATGGTTGCTTCGTCGTCCACAGCCCATAGAGACGCCAACACTGAGCGAGCCCCAGATCCCAAGAAGGCTCGTGCTATTCCAACAACTCCTTCAGCTTTGATGTGGCCTTTTCCACTGTGACAGCAACTGAGCACCACAAGCTTGGCTCGCAATCTGACTGCTGAGATATCGGCCATTGTCAACAGAAAGTCGTCCTTCTCACGGTTGGATGGGGCTAATGCGATATTACCTCTCTCAGCTTCACCATGTGCAGCAATGTGAATGAGACTTACAGAGTGTATCTTCTGTAGAACCGCTTCCTTGGTAGCTTCTTTACCAGTTAAGGGTTGAACATTAAGAATATTTCCAATCATCTCAACTTCTCCTTTAGCCTTTGGTAATTGAGGAAGTGTTAACTCACTTCCCTGGAACATGACTGTACCAACATCAGGATCGCCAACAAGGGGAACTCCTGTCTCACTGTGATAATCTGCAGGACTGTCTTGGATCAGCTTGAGAGTCGTCAAAGATGGAGTATAACGAATCCTGAACTTTTCTGCCAGAAATTCGCCTTGCTCGTTCATCAATGCAGAAAATGGAACTCTGTATAGTGAACGATCAGGGACAACAACTATCTCAGATCCTTCAAGAGGATCAGCCACGGGAGCTATAATGACTTTGTACAACACTTTGAGGGGTGCTTCATCTTTTGTTCCTCCTTCATTCTTGTCTTTGAGTTGGTAAGTATTGGAACTTTCTTGAGGTTGTTGAATTTCTTCAGAATTGGTTGGCGATCCTGTCTCATCATCAAGGACCAAATAGCGATCTTCACATCGTTCTGCCGGCAAAAGCATCAACACTCTGTACCACTCATTACCCAGATTCTCGAACAGATCTTGAATGGAGGTAAATTTGGGTTGACTGTCTGCTGAACGCCATTGTCTCGGTGGCATCTCCCTGTAAGTTGTCTTCATGTTAGCCTTTAAAATCCAGTAAAAAAGATTTTTGCCATAAAAGTAAAATGACAGGCACGTGCAAGATTTCTCTTGGAAAGCGTTTTTGTGATCAATCCATCGCAATGGATCAAAACCAGGTAAAGGGTGCGCTGAATATTGAGTTTCCATTCGCTTTGCCAATGATCTTGCACGTCCAAGTTCTGATACTGACAAGGCTTGATCAGTACTTCCAAGTTTAAGGAGGACAACAACCATTAATCGATAGGGGTCATTGTGTTCGTGTGCAAAGCCTATATGAAACATTTCGGTTTCTCCATGTAATACCAACGTTTTTTCCAGGGTCTTTATGCTTGCTGATAGGTACCAGAAAGCTTTTAGTGTATCGTATCTAACTAAACACAGCAATGCCATGTTCCAGTAGCGTAGTCTTTCTCCTCGTTAGTTACTTATTAAGTGAGAGATTGAAAGTGACGGACTAAAATAATCAGAAGCTTTCTTAAATTCTTTCTGCAACAAGTAAAGCTGTCCCAAGTTGTTGTTTATTATCATTTCTCCCTCTCTGTCTTTTATTTCCCATGAAATGGCAAGAGCCTGTTCGTTGTATTCTATCGCCTTACAATATTCACCCAGTGAATTATAAAGCATTCCAAGGTTTGACAAAGCAGTGCTCTCTCCTACTTTCGATCCAATTTGTTTCAAAGTTTGCAAGGATCTTTCGAACAGGTCCTTGGCCTTAGGTATATCACCAAGAGAATTTGCAATTTGTCCGAGATTGCTGATCAGAGATACCTTTCCCCTGAGGTCTTCGTCTTCCTCGCTGATACGAAGCGCCTCCTCAAACCGAGCTTTTGCATTATCATACTCGCCAATAGTTTGCTCCACAGATGCAAAACTAGCAATGATATTTGACTCATTCAGAGTATCGCCAATATCTCTGGCGATTTCAAGTCCTTTATTCCAAAACTCCTTTGCCTTTGCATACTCACCAAGGTGCTCACAACAGCAACCAAGATGATGGTACTCTGCAGGCAGTCCTTCTTTAAAATTTATTCGAATTTTAATCTCCAGTGCTTTTTGGTGGAGTTGGTAGGCAGTTTTTTAGTCACCACAATGCTGGTGGATGGTTCCGAGATTGCCGTAGTCACTTGCTTGCCCACTTACCTGATTGGCATCTGTGCTGATAGCAAGCGCCTGCTCACCGCATTCCTTAGCCATGGGAAAATCTCCGCGAGCTTTATAAACACCTCCCAGCTTCCACTATTGCGTAGCTTCTCCTCTTTTATAACCAGTTTGCTTCTCAATGATAAGACTTTTTTCATGGCATTTAAGTGCCAGGTCATACTTACAACGAAAACGGTAAAAATCTCCAAGTCGACTGTTTTCACTTTATTCATTTTCTAAGTCTCCAGTTTCTTCGTATAGTTCTATAGCTCTCTTGTGGCAGTGCTCCGCCATTTCAAAGTCTTTCAACTTTCTATGAACATCACCCAGATCACTGTATGCTGAGGCCTCCTGGTTTTTGTCATCAATTTCTTTACTAAGGGCTAGTGCCTTTAGGCAGCAGTCTCGAGCCTCTTTGAATTTATCAAGATTGAGCAGCACACCAGAGAGGAATCTGTTATCGATTATTTCTCCTTTCTTGTCTCCGATTTTCACACTTATTTCTAGTGCCTTCTTGCGCAGGTCTTTTGCTTTGACATAGTCTCTGCGTAAGTTATATAAAGTCCCAAGTTTACCAGTGGCTGCCCCTTGCATGTAGGTGTCTTCATCTTCCTCCGCCATAAGCAAGACCAATTCATGGTATTTTTGTGCCTGGTCGTATTCCTCAAGTGACTTACACAGATCACCAAGGCGATCGAATGTAAGTCTCTCTTGTTTCCTGTCCCCAAAGTCACCATACAATTCAGCTAATCTTTCTAAAAGGGGTCTGGCTTTGAAGTATTCGAAACGAGAAAGAGCCATTTGACTACACATGTTTAGAACACATGCTTCCTTTACCTTGTCTCCAACATTCCTGGCCAATGATAAAATTTTAATAACTTCTTCATCTTCCTCTTTACCCGGTGAGTCATGGGCCTTGGATACGTGCTCGTTATGAGGTCTGTCGAGATCTTCGGCTGTACATTCATTGCCACCCATCTGGGGATACATAGCTTTTGCTAATTCTATGTTTTCAAAGCCATTCTTAAAATCTCCAATATGGAAATAAATGTAAGATAACCTGCTGTAGACAAGTGCCGAAAGGCGCTTTAATACTTCGGCTTCTAACTTCGACGTGCACTGATTCAGAAACTCCAAGCATTCAGTAAATAACTCGATAGCCTTTCTGTATCGACATGTTTGTAGTAAAACCGACGCGACTGAGATGCCGATAAAAAGAGCCTGGAGTATCTCCTCCGTGTTCTCCATACGTGCTTTGTTTCACTCGGTCATTGTTTGGCAATCAATCTATCAAAAACGAAAATACCAAGGCAAGAATGATGTTAACTTTTTCTATAAAATGAACTGCCTTGAACATTAATAATTTTTTACTCCTGCGCTCACTCCTGACTTATCAAGTTGAACACTGAAAGAGAAATTTCACATCTACGCGCGTCCATCCATTATACTGCAAGCGTCACTCCCTATCACAGAAAAACAATAACTGGCGAAACTAAAAAGTTCTATCATGTCAGGTACAAGCACAGAACAAAACTAAAGGCTTCTTAGAGCTACCTCAAATTATTTCTTAATCATTAATTCGACCTCAAGGTATGTCTTAATGATTCGACTAAGTTGTGCCCTTCACTAGTTTTTCAAGTAATAAGTGTCCGACTTGGAATGGGTTTTTGTTCAAAAGTACATCAACTTGAAAAGCAGCGACTAGGCCAGTGTCTTTATAATGATCAAGACTCATCACCGTATGCATATAACATTTTTGAGAAAAAAATATGAGCGTTTCAGATATCTCAGTTTAGAGAAAATGTTTAGGTTAAGGGATAAACCTTTCACTTGAATTCCATGCAAAGTCCTACAATGAATGAGTTGTTTAATTTTCCCCTACCCTTTGTGAATGCTTTTGACACTGATATTTCATAATCTTATGTAAACATCGATGTTGATTTCCAGGTTGATAGATAGCTGGAAAGAATTACATCAGTTTTCAAGTTTTTTGTTTAGAATTACGAATACATTTATTGTTCTTTTCATTTGACATTACTTCTTCAATTGCAAGATGGAAGCTATAACTAGCTACAAAGTAACTTGAACTTGTGTAAAAAAGTCAGCAGTCTCAAATCATTATTTTCCTCTCTTTACATAAGATTATGAAATATCAGGTTCAACAGCATTCACAAAGGGTAGAGGAAAGTTAAACAGCTCATTCATCGCATAGGACTTTGAATGGAATTCAAGTGAAAGGTTTATCTCTTAACCTATATTGAACTCTTCAACATCATAGTTCCATAAATTATTGTGCAAGTCGATATTCTGAATTTAACTTCAATTTGCAATAAATTGTACAACAAAAATAAGGAATTATTTTCGTAACAAACATTTAAGAAAAAATTGGAAAAGCTGTATGTGCAAATTTCTGCCGACACTTAGTCTCTTTGAACTCCTTGAAGGATCTTCTCAGGAGCAACAAGGCGTCACCAGAACGTGGGCAGATACTACAGACATATATTCAGTTTAAAATAGGCAGTATATTCGTTTGTCTCACGACGTGGACACTTCGAATGTGGATCGTGACGTTTTGATTGCATTCTGCTGGTCTGTCCTTAGGCAGTGAGGTCGATTGGCAATGGGAAACAGCGAATGGAACGCTTTCGGTGGTTTAAAACTGAGCTGTATGAAGCTTTCTATTCAGTTGTGCAGCGGTCTTTATGCGACCCATTTCTACCTACTCGTCGTCGCAGAAGGAATGGTTCAAATTTTGAACCGATTATCAACACTGATTCAGTCTCATCGATGACAACAACGGATTAATGTAGGTCTCTAATCACCATGTAAATCTATCACGACAATTATGTTCAAGTAAACTATTTCAATCCCCTGCTCTCACGAGGTAACTGTTGAAGCCCCCCTTCGCATTACTGAGCCAAGAAAAAAGCTGGAAGTAGGCTTTTTACGAGAACTGTAAATACAACTATAAAGGGCTTAGTTGAGTATTTTCTCGGCGATTCATTATAGCAAATTTGTAGTACTCGAGACTATAACTCGCTGTCGATTTCACAATAAGCCTTAAGCAAGGAGAAAGGTTTATCGGCAGATTTTATCACATATTTCGAGATGGATAGATAGATAGATAGATAGATAGTTTATTAGAATATCGAACATGGCAGTCCGTAGACTGAATTGCGTTACAATTACTTAGAACTAGGAAGAAATGAATTCCAAATACAAATTGAAATTATAATAAAACAATAAATGCGAAAACTCTCTATATATGACTATGTACAAACTAGTCTTAAAAAAGAAAAAAATTTATGTACACATACTTGGAATAAAAGTCTTCTTAAAACGATTTGTATGTGTACGGGGCATGGCATAAGCCCTGGACTGTCTTAGATTATATCTGTGTTCTCTCTTAGGAGGTAAGACAGGCACGAGTTTGTGATCCGGGCATGACGTGATAGACTCGAAAAGCTTGCTACACAGAGCCACGCGTCTCGCGTGCAAGGTTACTAAGTCGAACCTGGCCAAACATTCGAAATATGACGCATAAGGACAAATGATGGAGAGCGCTCTCTTTTGCACTCGTTCAATGTCGTCACTAAGATACTGTGGGAGCGCGTGATGGAAAACTGGCGCACAGTACTCTAAAACAGATCTTATCACGGTGCAATAAAAATTTATAATGTCGCTCAGTGGAACGTT